TAAGTCAGCCTCAAATGCAGTTTGCTCGACCTGAAGGTGTGGTGTTTGCCTGATGATTTGATTTTTGCTCAACCAACCTACCTACCTACCTAATGCAAAGTACCCATCTTATCAGCTTATCAGGCCTGATTGAGACATGCAGCACGCTTCCAGTTCCAAATCCCGTCGGATAGGCCGATAAGGTACCTTAAGGTAGGCACCTACCTTAGGTTCTTCATATCTTGCCTTTAAGGTGCCTATTTCCAATGGAAGTCTGACCTTGGATCGACTGGAGCCTTGCGTGAACTTGTCAAAATGCTCAAACTCTCAAGAGCACCACCGCCTGGCTGCCGCGTCATATCTGCAAACACAGGGCCTGCTGCTACAATTCTTCAGCTGCTGTGCCCCAAGGAGACGGATGAAGCAAAGTAACCACAGACACAGCAATGACGGCGGTAAGGCGTCGTTTGGTGCCTTGGGTGTGTCGAGGGCTAGGCGGGTTGCAGTACCTGTGCGCGCCCTGCGTCGTGCGTCCTTCCCGCGTGGTTGACTCGCTTCTGGAAGACCGACTTTTGCTGTGGAAATGCGTTGAGGTGAGAGGAACGTGGAACTAACTACCTGACCTTAAGGTAAACAACCCGAAGTGAAACCTGAGCTCAGATTAAGATGGTGAAATGTGTATCACTGGGCGTGGTTTCCTCCTTCTTTTCCCTAAGGTATCTTATTCTCCGTAGATAAGTCAGGTAGTTGCAGGTGCACCTCAGTGCTTTCCGTGTTCCCTGGAAGGAAAGAGATACATGGAGTCTTCCTTCCAGTCCCAACTTGGAATTCAATGGAAACGGGAATTGACACATGGAAGATATCCCGATTGAGAAAGGCGGCTTCCATTGATTGGAATTGCGGTGGGTCTCCCGCTCCTGCAGCAGTGCAACGATGGCGGGTGGCTCCTTCCTGTTGCTTTTCGTTGGCACTGCATTTTGCTCTTGCATTGGAGACGCAATTTTTCTCGACTTCCTCGCTCCTTGTTTCCCAATTCCGTCCCATACAAAACATTTTGATTCAATTCCGTTCATGCATCAAACTTCGACTTACGTTATAACTGTGCCGCATGAGCCTCGCCTGCAACATCTCACTTCCGGTACGAAGATGACTCCCGTTTCTTCAAATTCCTACCTCAGTCTCACGCTTCTCAAGACCCCTTGTCAAAATTTCTTCCGTTCCCTGCCAGCCTCCCCAGATGGAGAGATGCCCCTCGACATGGCCATTCATCCAGAACTCCAAGTTCCAGCACCCAGAAGGGAGAACAAGAGACGCTTCTCTGCCCTATTCCAGCCTTCTCAAAGTCTCTAGCCTCTCTCGGACTGTCCCCTCTTGCGGGCCTGATCTGATAATGAGGGAATGCCCCCCTGGCCACTCAACTTGAATCCCCCCTCCTCCCGGTCCTTTCTCATGTTATCTTGATGTTTCCGGACCTTGGTGGGCATCAGCGGGTACAACCCGGCGGTGAAGCTCCAGTCACGGTCACAGGTTCGTCGTCAACGTCCGTCAACGTCAGATCTGTGCAGCGAACCCCTGGCGATCTCCCTGTATTTTTCCTGCCTTATTCCCCGTCTTTGTTTCTTACCTAGCACCCACGCACCTCAAGCCTTGTCAGTGGCCACCTCACTGTCTCCCCGAAAGTCTGCGCCTGCATGGACCAGCTGAAGGTCCCAAATCTGCCCTTCCCCCTGTGCCCTGCTGCTCTATCGCGGGGCCACGGATCCCTCGCGACCCGCAACTATCCAAGCATCGCTGACCACGTCGACGGCACAGCAAGTCCTTGTCACTCAAGACTGAGAGTGTCTACGACTACACTATAGATACTTTGTGCTGCCAGTCTCCTCTGCTCGCTCGCTGTTACGAACCAAGTCCGAAGAATAGGCAAGCTAAGTATTTTGCTAGCGGCCGTTGACAAGCTATAATAGCTATTACCTAGCTCAAGGCAAGAAAAACAATCTCTTTCCCAGACATGACGACAAAGATGAGAGCACAGAATATGGGTACACGGCCATTCCATCGTTACCATGCTACATGGGCTCTCATACCGCATCGAGCTATCATTAAACGAATAAAGCACCTTTGTCGTCAGGTAAAGGCTGTATCAATGCTTGTGCCCAAGGTATAGGCCATTGAGGTTGGTGCTGGTAAATCCAGCTCGGCGGTTCCCCAAACGCCGTCAGTGTTTGAAACAACAGATATCCCCGAACTCATCGCATAGCCTATCTTGGAACGAACACGGAAGCGTCGTTGGCCTCTGCTCTGAAGTTTCCAGTGTCAAAGATATCAGACGGCTTTGGAGTACAACGTTGATCGGCCCCTCATCCCCGTCCAACCGCTCCAACCCTACGGACCTCCGGGCCCTCCATGCTGATAATCTTGACTCCGCTGGCCTCCAGGGCGCCCTTGCACTCGTCCCATTTCTCAGCGTCCACCGGCCTGGTGCCCTCTTCCACAATGAAGGTCCGGAACCCCTCCTTCTGGGCATCCAGCGCGGTGCACTTGACGCAGTAATCACCAGCCAGACCGACTACATAGACGTCCGTGACGCCCTTGTCCTTGAGAGAGGCCGCAAGTCCGCTGTCGGACACTCTGGGTGACTGGAAGGGGTCGTAAAAGACGCTGTACATCTCAACGTCCTTATTCTGGCCCTTTTCGATAACGGTGTCTACGGCCGAGGCATCTAGCTCCGGCACCAAGGCTGCGCCGGGCGTACCCTGTACGCAGTGCACTGGCCACAGGCGGGTGTGGAATGTCTCGGCGCTGTTTCGCGGGTTGACGATATCGATGGCATCGACAAAGGGTTGCTTGCCATCGTGGTTTGATGCGAACGAGACGTGGTCTTGGGGATGCCAGTCTTTTGTGGCAATCTTGGTGGTGAACGGTAGACGTAGTAGCGAGTTGACAACGGGATGAATATCACGGCCGTTGGTTACAGCAAGTGAGCCATTCTCGAGCCGATGTTAGTCTCACATATCCATATCAGCACCTGGAGCTCTCACTTGTAGCTTCAGGCCGCGAATGGGCCAAGATGCGACGAACGGGGAAGTACGACGTTCATCTAAGGTACTCACAGGTGGGCAAAAGTCTTCTTGAAAGTCAACGACGATCAGCGCTGGTCTGAAGAGATCCTCGGACATGGTGGCTGAAGCTTAGTACCTAGTCGCTTGCCGTGGTTCTGGGGGCTGTCGAAACGGCTCGTTCTAGCTGTGTGGCTGGGCAGATGAACGAGTCAAGTATTGACCAGTCAAAGTAGCTGAAGCGTCCTGTACTTGACAGTGTGTTGGTGGCTTGCAAGATATCGTGTGTCGCGTGCTGCGCATCCAGGTAGAGGGGTAGATGGGTGCGCAATTCGTAATGGCATCAATGATAACGTCAGCTTTCCTTTCTTCGCCTGCTTATCGCCAACGGCGGGGAATCACTGGAGCAGTGGGAAACATGTCCTGCGATAAGTGAGTCTAGGGGTCCTTGCGACCAAATTACAGGCTTTGGGACGCTATTGGCAGGCGCAAATTGCGGCAGCCCGATCCGCAGTAGTTGTTCAAACTTCACAGACTCAGAGGTACGTGTACATGCCTTATCGGACGGTCCTGAGTCTTTCTTATCTTATCTCAGCTTATCGTAATTAGGTAAGTCAAGGTAGGCCCAAAAACGGGCAAGGCACCCAAACGTGGACTCCAACTCCAAAGTGCGATGCAACCACAAGATTAACACCCATCTGCTTGATTCGCTCATTTACTGTGGATTAGTCCCTGACGCTATCTCCATCCCGAATCGAGCAAGAACTCGTCCCTCGCAGCTTGATACACACCACATCATCGGCCTGAGGTGCCGGGCGCCATGCTGATGTGAGGAACCCTGCCATGTCCCGAGCATTCCAACATGCCCAGGACGCAGGCACTGGGAGTCTGGCAGTGGAGGGCATCAATGCGCCACCCTCCAACAGCTGAAGCTGAGCTAAGCCCGCCTCGGCAATGTCAGCACTCCAGTTTCTATCCGTACTCTTTAGGAATCCTGGGTCTAGGAGCTGGTCTCGCCCTCCACAGTCCACCAGCGGCTGATGGCGCCAACCATCCACCACTGCCACCCCACGGGGATCTCAATGACCACCCTGAGGGAGACGATGTGCTTAGATTCGATACTGCTCATTGGCTTGTGGCCGAAGTCGTGAGACATTGGTCGGAATCTTGAGCATTTGCTGAATGAATTGACGGCGACCGATACCTGGGCACTGCTACTCCGTACACTACCGACGATGGCCAACATTTCGAAGTACAGTTGGAGCAGACAAGGAAGGCAGGATAGGTACATCCTCGGCAAATGGCGTCGTTTGAGTCAAGCATCCACGTACTGTGCCAGAATGCTCCCCTGGGCCGTCAGTGGAGATCCGAGCTCGGCCGGGACAGCTGCTTCGGTACGCAGTTGGGCACTCCGTTTACCGGTTCGCTTACTCTGACAATCGTTTCCCAAATATCCTCAGCTCGCCGATCGAGACGTCATGTCCACCCAATACCCAACGGAATCTCAAGTGCAGGCCACCAGTAGAATCTGGCACCAGGGTTGGCACGACTGACACGCGAATCTGTTGGCAGAGCTCTCCGCCATCCACACCTCGCCAGCATCAAAGCTCCCGCCCCAGAGCTCTCCACGAGCTGAGTCGCGAACAGAGAGCTCCTGTTCCGATTCTGGACCTGCGTCTCAGCCCTGTTGTGTCCCTCTCCAATTAGAAACACCAAATGGCCGCCCAACTGCGGAAGTCTCCGAGAGCTGCTGCCGCCGTGTCTCGACGTGCCACATCAGACGGCAGCCAGCCACTTCAGAGGTGACAGCCCAATAGTGCGATGCAACCGGTTAGCCTGTCGCACAGGTCACTCGTTGGAGGGGGGACGGCGATATCTGATAAGAGCTCCAAGCTCCGCGTTTACGTCGCAGGTTGCTGAAGAGCTGCCAGCGCTCTTACACATACAGCATCTACACAACTGAAGATGCGTCTCTCTACCATTCTCCTGGCCGCGGTCGTCAGACCGGTCGTTTCTTGGGGCAATGTCGGTCACCGTACCGTCGGATACCTCGCTGAGAAATACTTGACTGAAGAAGCTGCCGCCATTTACGGGGACCTGCTCGCCAATGATCGCAACTATGACTTCTCCGATGCCGCGACTTGGGCTGATACGCTCAGAGGCCACATGGGCTGGGCAAGCAAGTATCACTACATCAGTACGAATACTGTCCCTTGGCCATGGCATAGCCACGCCGACAAGATCAAAATGCTCACAACTTGCCAGATCCCCGCGACGACCCCCCTAACATGTGCGGCATGAAGTACCCTCAAGACTGCCCAGCGACCGGCTGCATCATCTCCGCCATCACAAACTACGTAAGAACCACCCGGAACCACCCTTACTGCTCGGCAATCATCAAAACTGACATGCTTGGACTAGACATCTCAAATCCTCGACACGAGCCTCCCGCACATTGACCGCAAGAACGCGACAATGTTTGTAATACACTTTTTGGGCGATATCCATCAACCCCTGCACGCCACAGGTCTCCTCCGCGGCGGCAATGACATCCGGCCCGTCTGCTGGCGCCGGCAACCCAACCACGGCGTCTGCAACGGCCCCATGAGCCTGCACTCCGTCTGGGATACGCAGATTCCGCACCGCATCCGCGGTCTGCCGCCGCACCTGAGCATACCGCAGGAAAAAGTTGCCGCCGCCTCATGGGCAGCTGACCTATACCAACGCCAAGAGCAGGCAGGCGTCAACGCCACGGCTGGGCAGTGCATCGATTTGAAGACGGGTTCGTGTGCATTGGGGTGGGCCACAGAATCGAACGCGTACGTCTGTTCGCACGTGCTGAAGAAGGGTCTGGCTTGGTTGAAGTCAAATGACCTCAGCGAGGGGTACTTTGATGAGAACTGGGAAGTCGTCGATGAGGTGATTGGGAAGGCGGGCGTGAGGCTGGGAGCGTGGTTGAACGCCATTGCTGAGAGATTGACTGCTGAACAAAAGGAGCCTGTGTTTGAGGATCTTTGAGGAATCAAACAGGCTTGATCGTTGGGCATCACTCCCAGACTGAATGAGGATATCTGAGGGCCATACTTGGCGGGATCTGATCTCCTGCCAAGAGCCGACCTGCACGTCCTGGGACTTGCTTGAATATAGTCATGTTAACAAGCTTTGACTGAGAATAGAGAGAAATTTGCCATGATGTATACCAATCAGCCCCGTCTCCATTCTCTTTGGAATAAGAAAGTGGCGGCAAGTGCCTTGCATTTCTCAAAACACGCGATTGCAGCCAAGTTGAGGCAGTGTTCCGCACATTTTGACCTCGAACAAGCATTAAGAGCAACATTTGACAACGAGACGCATCAGAGAATAATGAGAATACTGATTTCATCATCGCATCTTGCTCTGCGAGCTATCTAATCCAGTACTGAGTGCGTATTTCATCTGGGCGGTGGTTGTCATTTTCACCATCCAGAATTCTCGCCAATTAATTGATTCAATCTCTCAAGTTGAAGGTGGCCGCATCGTAGCTGAGAAAACTTCTAGGGATTCGGTCGGAACGATTCCCTCCTCCCTGCGACAGGTTCTGGTAGAGAACAGCGTATACATTTTCCTAGAGTTGAGCTAGCGATATACTTCGATGAAGAATCGTGGTCCCTGTGAATCCGAGGGCTGGATACACTATGAGCCAATTTTCCACTGAACTTTCTCTCACGTCTCTAGATCTGCAATATTTCAGAATGATCCGGTCGATTATTACAAGCAAGCTCGTGATGTCTCTCCAGGCTCTACTAGCTTCAATTGGCAGAGGCCCAGTTCCATCCTGGGTTGACATAAGGATATTCGCCATCAGTATCGGCTGTAAAGTCCTTTCCACTCCGCATCAGCCGGACCAGCAAATCAATTGACCAGCCGAGGCGTTGTACAAAACGGTGGTTGATGTCACTTCGGAACCCGGTTGCTGAGTATCAAAGTTGGAGTCGAGGCAGGCCTCGAAGGCGGGGTTGGCAGGCATGTCGCAGGATGCTTCGGCGAAGTTGATCTTTTGTCGATTAGTGATTACTTACATGCACTGGTGAATCTGCCGAGGCCCCCTCAACGAAGTATACACAGGAGGCATATAAGTAGAATAACGGGAATTGTTGGTAATTGATGTTTGAATTGCGGTATTAACGGCAATCCCATCTTTCACAGAAAATCATAGGCACTCACAGAACAGATTCCCGAAAACAATGGCATCATCTCAAAACAAGCTCCCCGAGTCGTATGCCTCGTTGAACTACGATGGCCTGCTCGTCTCCCACGTCCCAGCGAGTTCGTCATCCGTCACAAAGGTCATTATGATCACCCTAAACCGGCCTAAAAAGTACAATGCCATGAAGGGAGATATGTTCACCGGCCTCGAGGTGATCTTCAACACCGTCAGCGAGGACCCGAGAGTTCTCGCAGTCGTCATCACAGGGGCAGGCAAGGCGTTCTCCGGAGGCGCGGACCTAGATGTTGGGTTTATGGGCATGGTAGCTCTGAAGGAGACGGAGGAATCAATGAGGGATTTCCGGGATTGGTGAGCCTTACCTGACCATAGAATTCGAAGAATGGTGATCACGCCGTTCAATCGACGTGGTATCTGATCTGATGCATACTTCTTCCTTCAAACAGGGGCGGACGCGTCGCGCTGGCAATCTCAAACTGCAAGAAACCCACCATCGCCGCCATCAACGGTCCGGCCGCCGGCGTGGGTCTGACAATGGTTCTCCCGGCCACCATCCGGGTAGCCTACGAGGGCGCCCGGTGCGGCTTCCCCTTCTCCCGGCGCGGCCTCGTCCTCGAATCCTGCAGCGCCTTCTTCCTCCCGCGTCTCATAGGCCTATCGCGCGCCAACCACGTCGTGGCGACGGGGGACATGTACGCCGTCACGGACCCGCTGGTCAGCGGACTGTTTTCAAAGTTTTTGCCCTCGCCGGGGGAGACGGTGGAGTACGCGGTCCAAGTCGCAGAGGACCTGGCGGAGAATACGTCGTTGGTGAGTACCAAGTTGATGAGGGATATGATGGTGTATTGTCCGGCTTCGCCTGAGGGGGCGCACGTGTTGGATTCGAGGGTGTTTGTGCAGCTTGCTGGGACGGAGGATAATGTTGAGGGGGTGAAGAGTTTCTTGGAGAGGAGGAAGCCCAGGTTTACGGGGTCTGTTGATCGGAAGAGTGTTCCGTTTTGGCCTTGGTGGGATAGGGATGATGGGAGGTTTGTGAGGCAGTTGCAGAAGGCTGCTAAGCTTTGATGAGATATGAGAGATGAGAGATGAGAGGCTCTGATGAATGAGTGAGTGAGTGAGCGAGTGGGTGATGAGAGTGAGATGGAATATATCGTGTGATTCGTTGCACTTGGGTGAGATAAGTAGATCAAATTGACAATCGGAATCGGGGATTTCCATACGTATCTGAGCAGCCTTGAATGCCTTCACTCAAGTGTGGCCAAATCGATAATGGGGTGATCTTTGCATTGAAGTAGTCTGGCCTAGAGACTCAACAAGTTCATGCTACGACTACTCATATGAAGAGCAGTTTCTCTTAGGCGCCAAACCTTCCAGCAGTGGTATAGAACTTCACTCTTCACTCTTCAGGAACTCAATGCTCTCTCATCGTGATGAAGGTGAGAAAAGAGTGACACGCTCATGTTTACATGTGAGTGAGCGCACGAGGTGTGACAGGCGTCGTCCAGCGCATCCGCTAACGATTTAAGCACCGTGACACCCTAGTCCCGATCTTTAGGATCTTCTTGGGGGTGGATCCCCCGGATCGATCGCTAGTTGCTCCCTGGGCGCAGTGGGCGCAAGTGAACAACAAAGAGGCGCTTTGCGGGTGGTGACCTCATTAAACTCAATGTCACAGCGTCATAGACGGCATAGCTACACATTTCTCGTCCCATATTTGACCCGCACGCGTCCGCATGCCAGCTGAGATGCCTGCTATGATGCGATGGGATAACGAAACTATCCATTGACATTGATGGCATCTCAAGATCCTAATCGTGACCTTGAGCAAAACGGCTCCAAAACCATGTCGCAGAACGGAAACACAGGCAAGGATGGACGGAAGAGGGTCCTCGTTGTCGGCGCTGGTGCTGCTGGGTAAGTCGAATATCTGGGATGGACGATTGACACTCGCAAGGCGAGAGACTTACATGAAGTAGCATGGCGACGGCATACCACCTATCGAACCATCCGGACAAGTTCGATGTTACTCTCATCGACTCGGTCGACTACTGCGGAGGGCAGGCCTTTTCGATGCCTATTAACAAGGAGCGACACGGCGCGAGTTGGTTCAACCAGGGCGTGCAAGGCGGCAGCTACATCTTCCACCACACGTTGACCATGTTCGCCCGCCAAGGCTACCATGCTGATCCCGTCAAGCTTCAAGTCTCCTTTGGCAAGGACGATAAGTTCTGGACCAACGTCTTCCCTACCGAGTTCATCGAGAAGCATCAAGCCGAAGTCCGCAGACTGGCTTTCATGCTCAAGATCATGAGGTGGTTTGAGGTCTTCTTCGCACTGTTGCCGTTGAAGATTGTCTTCAAGCTATTTCGATTCTCGGACGAGTTCACAAACGTTGTAGGATTGCCCATGACGGCTCTCTTCCTTGGTACTGGTAACGCGACGCCAGAGGTGCCGGCCATCATGTTGGAACGTCTTTGTACTTCGCCAACGTACGGAATGTGGTACCCCGCCGACCCGAATAGCGTCGCCTCTAACCAACCGCCCATGGTTGTCTTCCCCAACTTCACCGATTTCTACACTACATGGAAGAAGGATCTTGAGTCCCGAGGCGTGACTGTTCGCTTGTCGACGGAGCTCACCGAGGTCGTCCACCGCAACAAGCGTGGCGTTCTCGTCAAGACCAAACCTCGCACCCCCGTGGAAGACGGACATAACCCAGTCGGCGGCGACCCAGACGCAATCGAGTCAGAGGAGCACTATGATGAGATCGTCATGTGCGTCCTTGCCGACACCGCCAAGAAGATCCTCGGCAAGACCTCATCATGGCGCGAGCGCAAGGTGCTCGGCTCGGCCACCTTCTCCGACGATATTACAATCACGCACAACGACGCCGACTACATGAAGAAGTACTATGAGAACTTTTACGACGAAAAGAAGGCTGTCAAGACACTAGGCAAGAAGGGCGAGGTCGACGAGTCGTCCCGCCTCGCGTTCGCCAAAGACAACTTCAGACCCATGTACTACATCCGCATGTACGATGACGACCTCTCGAAGCTGGAGATGTGCTTCGACACCACCAACTATCAGTCCCAGTTCCCCGACAAAGTGCCCTTCGAGCAGCACGTCTTCCAGACGATCTACCTCAACAAGCACCGCGACCGCAAGCACTGGACCGACAACGAGATCGACAAGGACAAAATCATCCGCGCCGACTGGTGGCATCAGCTGTGCCACACGTGGAAGCACTACACTTTTGTCGTACCGTGGATGATGTTTCTTCAAGCCAAGAAGCGTGTCCGCTTCGCGGGATCGTGGACTCTGGTCAATGCGCACGAGGTCGCCATCATGTCTGGTATTGCTGCCGCCGTCGATATGGGCGCAGATTACCCCGAGGACTTGGAGCACGACAAGTTTGCGCTCTTGTGCTTCAGACTGTACTATCTGTTGGCGTATGGAAAATGGTACCGTCGCAAGTTCAAGGACAGCAAGAGCCAGAAGGCCAAGGATGGTGCGAGCTGGGCTTCTGGGTTGTATGGAAGTGTGTACAAGGGTCCTGGTGTCGCTGAGCAGGAGAGGTCGGTTTGGAGGGAGGAGGTTAAGGCTGGGCGAAGCACGGAGAACCTGGCGGATGGTAACAATGGAAGGAGTCAGCCTTAAGGTTGTGTAAGGAATACCTGAACATAGATTCTCTTGTAAGATTATCCTAGAAGATCTACCAATTAAAGCTAGCTACTTACATGATTTGAGGCTCGCGCAAGCCGGATAACGGTCTCAATTATGGTAATATCTTAATAGGGAGGCATGATCTCTGCTTATTTATAGCACGCGAAACAGGGACCAAAAAACCCAGTCTACTGTCATTTAAGCGCGGCGACTTGAAAGATTTCAGCCCAACGACTAAAGCCGGCCTACTAAGCTATGCTGCCTCGCAGACAATGGCGCGGCTACCTTGTACATCAACCAAGGGCGTCGCGAAACAGGCGGCTGGGGATGATGGAATTGGGGTGTGATCGCTAGTGGAGTCGGCACCAGCCGAGAGAACATTCGGTTTGCCGACTTGAACGGTGACGGTCGTGATGACTACATTGCCCTTGATAGTTCTACAGGCGGGCTGAATGCGTGGTATAACCGCGGCCCGCAGAGCCAGAATTGGGCTACTGTTGCCCCCTTGGTGTGGTGGAACCCAGGATCGATCGCCTCCGGCGTAAGCTATCTACCAAAAAGGTCAACCTCGAATATGGCGACATTTGGGGACTTGAATGGAGACAGTAGGGACAAGTTCTTATATATTGGAGTCGAAGATTGGAGTGTGTGGTAAATAAGGCGTAATTGCTGGCCGGCAATTACGGTTCCGTTTTTGTACGACAGTTATGAGCCCAGCTCTAACTTAGACCACTGAACCTCTATTAAAAAGTCACTTTTTAGGAGCTACGATTTACTATATCTTTTCTCATACTCAATTTTAACCCCTACTACGCTCACGAACCCCGTTCCTAAGTAACTATATTTTCTAAAAAAGCTTCTAAGGTAATTAGGTATAAGCTTAACTACTAACAAAACTAGCTAAAATAATACCTCGTTTTATAAATAAAAGCCCGCTTAAAGGATATCTAGGACCTACTTAACTTAAATAATATAAAGTTATTTTTAAATCCTTTATTTTTTATTAAGTCTATTCTACTTATTAAAAAATACGTTAAAATATAAAATACTACTTAAAAACAAGCTTATAAAGCGGCTATAATTAAATATAACTAATAACTTAATTACTATACTTAATAAGAAGCCCTAAAAAACGATACTAAGGACGATTTAGTATAATAAAACGGCTTTATAGAATAACTTTTTCTTTTTACGAGGCCTAAGCTAATTATAACTAACTAAATATATTTTTTTAAAAAATATACCTCTTTTATCTAGTAAATAGTATTTAAGACGATCTCTTAATTATAAAAAAAAAAATTATATAAGTTAATAAACCGCTAGATTACTAACTTTATTACTTAAAATATCTTAAAAAACGTAAAAAAAGAATTTATTAATTTACTTAACTACTTATTTTATATAATAATTAGAGTTTTTAAATAAAAATATACCCTGAGTAATTTAAATTTATTTATAATTACTTAAAAAGAATTTAATACGGTTATAAATAAAATAAACTCTAACGTTAATCCTATTACTTAGATTAAGGATTTTTATTTAGCCTATTATTATATAATATAGCTCTAGTTACCCGAGGTTTAAAGGACTTTTACTTTTAAATCCTTTTTTTACGTAACTACTTATTACTTCGCTCTAAACTAATCTAACTAAAAGCTTATTAATATTATAAAAATAAAATAAAGGGGCGAAATAATATTTAATATAAACTATTACGCTAAAATATTTAATAACCTCTTATATAAAGAGGTAGTATATAATAAAAGTCGTAAATAAAATTTTATAATTTTTATAATATTAATAAGTCGTTTAGACTCCCTTAAGTAAAGTAAAGTAAGACCTAACTCGTTTATAAACTATTTTTATAAAAAGACTTATTACTAAAAACTAATTAAGTATATAAAAGTAGAGTTTACCCTTATTAAAAAAATAAAGTAGGAATATATTTAACTAAATAGAACTAAAGTTAATAAGATAATTACTTATCTAAATACTAATAAATATATTAATCTTCGTACTGACCTTACTTAAAAAAAATAAATATAAATAAAAGCCCCTAGTAAATTTAATAATAATAATTAAAAAAGAAGTAAAAGGCTAAATAAATTAAAAAAGTTAATAAAAAAATAAAATTTTAAAGCGTCTTACTCTTTGAATATTATAGTTATAATTATTAATATTACTCTATTACTAGAATTAAATATAATAAATAATAAGAACGTTAATCTTATTATTTTCTTTATCCCTTTTATAGGCCTATACTTTCTTTCTAAATATATAGTTATAAATAATTACGGTACAATTTATTTTATTAATAACTAATCGCTTCTAAAACCTAGATTAATTTAATAATATAATAGGATTAAAAATATAAATTCTAGGACAATATCTTACTCTATACT